GTACATTGCTTCTTATGAGAGGGGAGCTATAGAGTTACAAACAAAAATCCATATAGAGAAATACAAAAATGTCCTTGATGCTGGTCATCGCTAACTATGGGTACATTGCTCTATGAAAGCAAATGATTGTCCTAGGAATGCCGTATTGGAGAGTCACTTGATATGATGACTCAGAAAGCTGGGAGGACCCTCCCACATCTGTCCAGAAGGCCTCCACGACCCTAGGTAGGGCCTTTAGAAGGACAGCTGCTTCTGTGTGTTAGGAGGAGAAGTGGGAAGGTAGGAGCATCCTATCCTGAGAAGAGAAGCCTCTGGGGTCCTCAGGTCCCTACTGTGCCACCCATGTTATTTGCATCATTGGTGAGAACTTTTCTACCAACTATGCTGTTGAAACAGACCTAAACTCCCTAAACACAGATAAGTTTGTGGCTTTATTTATTTTTGTCTGGCTTCATGCATTTTTTAATAATTATTTTTGTATTTTATTGTGCATATTCACAATAAAAACCTTGGGTTCACATGATATGGTTAGACTTGCTCTTTTTGTGTCTGTTATGAGGTGTTCTGTTCTTATGAAGATAGCTTTGTGGTTAAGACCTGAGACTTTGGAATCAGACCCTGGAAATTAATTTCTTGGCTCCATCCTTGACTGACCGTGCAACTTTGGCCAACTTACCCAGTATCTCCAAGCTCCAGCTTTCTCATTTGTAAAATGAGGATGGGAGGGGCTCCTCCCTTATAGGGTGATTGTGAGACTTAGAGAAAATCTGTGTAAAGTGTATGTACACCAGGATGGGGTGTATTTTTTGTACTATTTTCCCCTGGGATATCTGGGGATAAATATGCCCACTGTTACTTCACTATCTTGGTTTTCTCAAATCCTTTTTACAAGAGGGCACGTTATAAATAATAAATAATTGTGATTTTTTTATTCTTTATTTCCAAAGACACAATTTACTCTTGTTGATTTATCACACAGTGATTCGTAATGGCTCACACAAGGTATTCTGGTGGACACTAAATTTCCCTGGCAGTGAAATTTCCTCTGGGAGCACACAGCACTGTAAGGGGAAGTCAAATGATGATTTTTCTCTGCTACTAATAATATCAAATCCCATTTCTTCAGTGTTGCGGAAAGTGTTCTATGTGCTAATTCATTGTTTGATGATGAAGAAGGAGGCATTCCCATTTGAAAATATGTCACCATAGATACTTCCATTACAATCTATTTGTTATAATAAAGACCTAGAATGTGCATGATGGACAGAGTTACATGGCATGGACTAGAATCTGGAGTGGCTTTGAAGTTAATTAGGCTCTCACGTCTGATGGTAAGGTGCCATTGATTGATATGTCCCTGGAGAATTTCATGTGTTTCGCTACCATGAAGTGTAAAAGATGTTATATGAAAGAGAGCGAACATTGCTACCTAATAATTTGTATTTTTTTCCTAAAAGATTGTATTTGTTCAGTCTTTAAACACCTAGAAGGTACCAAATCATTAGTTGATATCTGGGAATGGAAATAGTAAGTATGCACATCTTATAATAGAACACTTTTTTTGCTTTGTTTTTAACCTTTTTATTTTCTTGGAGTATAGCCAATTGACAATATTGTGGTAGTTGCAGGTAGACAGCAAAGGGACTCAGCCATACATATACATGTATCCATTCACTCCCAACCTCCCCTTCTCTTTCAGGCTGTTAATAGGACACTTTTTTAATTGACAAAAACTAATTTTGTTTTCTAATCAGAGTTGCCACTCTTTGAATCAACTGTAGAAAGTTGAAAATATCTTTGTGGGTGGCCACAAAAGTTTTTGAGAGAATTTTAGAAGATGTGCCATAGTGGAATGTCATTGACTTATTTAGTTTCTTCCCTTGCCTTAAAGGCAACATGTGGGCATTCTCCAAATGTGTGTGAGTGTGTGAAAGCATGAAAATGTTTATCGCTCAGTCCTGTGTGACTCTTTGTGACCTCCTCTGTCCATGGAATTCTCCAGGTGAGAAAACTGGAGAGAGGTGCTACGCCCTCCTCCAGGGGATATTCCCGGCCCAGGGACTGAACCCACATCTCTTGCGTCTCCTGCACTGGCAGATGGGTGACAGGTTCTTTAACACTAACACCACTTGGTGAGCATGTGGGTGGGTATTTATTTGTAATTCAAAGACTCTGAAATGTTTTGCTGTAGTTCTTTTTTTTCTTCTGAAACCATTTGCCGATTAAGTGGTTGCTGTATCACTAAAGCTGAAAGAAATTGAGTTTGTATACCAACAACTTGTCACCAGATGAATAAAAAAGATTTTGTTTAATTGACCATAAGAGAGTTTTCCCCCCTCTTAGAAGTCTGTGTTTTAAGGAAATTGCACATGACTTTTTTCTCCGTAGTACCCATCTTCAGTCTATATTTAGACTGAAGGCATGCTTAAGTTAAGGGATATGGCTTAGTAAATATTGATATTCTTTCTGAAACAGGATATGATATAATACTTGCATAATCAGGATTCTGTCTAGACTAGTGAAATTAAAATGGTGACAGAGCAAAAGGAATCTCTGAAATGAAATGCTTTAGAAAACATTTTACCAAAATATTGATAAAATTTGTGTATATAAAATAGTATTTTATATCAACATTAAAGTTAAGGTCTCAATATCTAGAATGCCATATTGACTTTTGTATATTAACATTTTTGTTATTCATCATTTTGACTGATCTTTCAGAAGATAAAGTGGCATTTATTTCAAATGCTTTAGTCTGGATAAAGAGGAGTCTCAAACATAAATGCACCTCAAAAATATAGAATAGAGCATGCTGCCTATAATCAGCAGAGGGGAAGATGATCACACTGGTTTCATTTTGGGCTAAAATATAATCAATAAATATGTCAGTAGGTGCTGACTAAGAAGCAAAACCAAATATTGGTCTTAAACTTTAGGAGCTTTGACCAACTAAAACCAAATACTTAAATTGAAGCTTCGCATTTGTTTAGTAAATAATTTATTTCCAAAGTCATTTTTCTAAGAATACTTAGTTGAAAAAATTACCAAAGAATACTTTCAAGCCAGGGATGGCTTTGAAACCTACTAAATCAAGTTTAGCCCAGAAAGAATATAGAGAGAGTTAGGACCAGGCTTGACTGAGTCAGTGGGTGTCCCTTACAGATGAATGACTTCTTCCCTATCTCAATATTCTGTAAATATGCTCAGTTATTCTATGAAGCAGAGAAAGAATTTATTTTATAGCATTCAAATGAAGGTAGGTATTATGTGGCATAGAATTCCTACTCAGTCACACATCAGCTCTGTGATCTTGGACAAAACTATTTACTATTTCTGAGTTTTCCCAACTATAAAATGACATAATAAGAGTACCAACTTCCCAAGAGCATTGTGAGGGTAAAAGAGATTAATCCATGTAAAGTTCTTAGCAGAGTGCCCATTCTCAAATAAAAAATAGTGTTTTCTTAAAGAAGTAGTGTTACCTAATGCTATGATTATTTTAAAGTGTAATTCATTTTTCCCCAAGATGAATTTGAAATAATAGTGAATATTCTTCCACTCTGAGGTGAGCTTGCAGTCCTTTGCCATGAATTATAGTAAATGACAATTGAATAAGATTAATTTAACTCTGCAGTCCTGGTCGAATCTGTCATTTCCAGCCTCTGCCTCAGAATTATAGGGGAACTTCGTATGCTTCATTTGAGAATCCTTGCAGCAATTTATATTCTCTTCATCAGATCTCATTGGCCACTGCTCTGTGGAATAAGACATAGGTAATAGGTGAAGGAAGTGACCCCATAGACATGTGTATTGCTTGCGCTTTATTGTGTGAAAGATCAGGGATAGGCATTAAAAAAGGACAGGGTGAGCCAGGTAGTTGAATCTGTTAAATATATCTGTCTTGATTTAGATGGCAAAAGAGAATAAAAATGTTCCAAAACAGTCATAAATTTAAAACCATATGCTTCCTTAGAGATCTGATTATGGTTCTCATTTCTCCCCCTGTAGGGGAGAAGGGAGATTTTGGAAGACAGCGCCATTATTTATGGCGAGAACCAAGTGATGAATATGCATGGAGACTTGGAAGGGTCTGAGCCCTCCTGATGCTCTGCTTTCCCTTTCTCTGCCTGATCCCTAGACTGAAGGAAGCTACTGACCAAGGCCATGCCATTTACTAATTTCACATTTTGGAGATGTTAGCTGTGTGTTCTCTGCCTGAGGCAGCCAGCCATTTGATTCTATCATGGGCACCAGGATATTGAAATTCAGAAGCTTGTGGTAGCTGGTACATTAATGTGGGGGCAAGGGTGATACTCATTTTATTTTATTTTTTTAATATAAATATTGTAACACATTACCTTGAAATGACTTGAATTAGTGGCTGATCAGCAGCATTATTTGTATTTGCATTATATCCAGGTGTTGCTTCAATTTCAATTGCAAGTTCTGCAGGCATTGTGAGGTTTTCTATTCCTTTGTGGACCAAAGAATATTCAGGTTTCACTCCCTGGTCTCTCTTTTTGTATTTTGGATTAGGTTTATAAGAGCATAAAATACTAAGCCTTCTAATGGATTGTTAGTACTCAGAATAGTGTTCATGTATGATGTGAAGTAAATACAATGACACAAAACATGAAAAATAATCTTAGGTAAAAATGCACAGAACATGTTAAGTCAGATTTTTTCCTTTTAGTGTCCTTGTTTCTACTTTTTAAAGTAATAGTGATGATTTCATGGATATGGAAACTTTCTGAAAGTTATTTTTTTTGTTTGCATATGTATGTTTTCTGCTTTTGCACATTCTGCTTTGCCAGCTTTGTCAGAAGTGAAGCAAATGTTTACTGTCTTGGGTGCTCTTCTAATTTATATACACAGTTTTGATATCAGTGAAAAGCCTAAAAATTTTGAGTTTAACCCTTAGGACAAAGAGCAGCTAGAAGGGTGACGAGTCCTTAAATATTAATTAATTCTAAAAATATTCAACTTCTTTTCTCTTGTAGTGAGAGATTTTTCTTGAGGCTAAATAGAAACGGGCTTCCCAAAGCCCCAGATAAACCAGAACGACACTGCTCTCTCTTCGTGGTAAGTGGATCTTGTTTTATCAAGGAGGCAGATTCTTTCTTAAATACTTTATCTTATTTAAGAGAGTAAGTTATTATGAGAGAACATAGTGGATTTGCTGAAACTTTGTGAATAACACACAAATTACAGTGAAAGTGGAATGAAAGTGTTAGTTGCTCAGTGGTATCTAACTCTTTGCCCATCAGGCTCCACTGTCCAGGGGATTTCCCAGGCAAGAATACTGGAGTAAGTTGCCATTTGCTCCTCCAGGGGATCTTCCCGACACAAGGATCAAACCCAGATCTCCTGCATTGCAGGAGATTGTTTGCTGTCAGAGCCTCCAGGGAAAAGTGTAAATTACAATAATGCCCTAAAATCTGAATGCCAGCTTTCACAATCACACCTTTGTCCCTTCAGTGTGTGTGAGAGCCTGTTCTCTACGGCCGAAGCCCAGTGTGACAGGGCTCAGAGTGGCACGTGCTATTTAGTGTTTATTTAAGAAATATTTAAAGAATGAGTGAACCAGAGACTGAAAAAAGAATGGGCTTTTCTTTTTTAAGTCTTATTTGATATCTGTAGGCTTACAGTAAAGTTGATCAGAGTGGTATTTTTAGAACAGGATTTGAATTATGTGCTTCTGCTCCAAAAAAAATCCATTAAAAATGTTCATATGTGTCTTCTTTCTGTTATTTGTTAAAACAATGTGCTATGCCCTTTAAGTGCTTCTGCCTAAAGGATGAGTTCTACAATGACCAGACTTTGTTTTTTGGTAGGACTTGGGTAGCAGCGAGCTCAGAAAGGACATCTATATCACTGTGCACATCATCCGAATCGGTAGGTGTGACACTTGTTGGTGTGATAGGAGCACAACGGGGAAAATTGCTGCGAGGTTCCTGTGTACTTGTGATTTATGTGCTGTCTGGATCCAAAAGAAGTCCAAGCAAGATCTGAATCCAATATTCTCAGAATTTGGGATTTTGGTCTCCCCAAACACTCACACCGCCATAAATAGAGTTTGTTCTCTCTCCATCTAAGTCATTAGTTAGTTTGCTGCATTTCATTTTGTTTTATTGGACTTTCTAAAAATACTGGATTCATACACTTGGTATTTGTCTACTCAAATCCTAATTTCTGTTAACAGCATACATTAAACTTTTAGGAGCTGGATTTTCTACACATTTATGAAAACTTGACACCAACTGGCATTTCCCGAAGTGTGGAAGGCTGCAGAGCGTTATTACACAAGGTGCTATGAGCAAAAGTCTACGGAAGACTGAATGCTGTATATATAGTTTTCACTGGTGTAATTTCATCAGCTTACTAAAGAGTCTGAGAAATCCTACAGGGAAGAATAAAATTGCTTCTCCAACTTTGTTGACCCTAGCTCTCTCCAGATTTGATTTGACTGTGGAAACACTTATATAATGTAACACTTACTAACCTCTTGCAGAACACACTTTCAGTGTTCTACGATGCCCTTGCACATCAAAACCAAAACATGGTCACTAGGTTTACACATATAAGACCTCTAAAAGCAGGCATTTTATGGCAGAGGAAATACATGGTGGAACCTAAGTCATTTCTCTAGGAAAGCTAACCAACTGATGCTGAGAACCGGCTCCCCCTTCCTCACTAACTGCTACATGGCTTGCTGAGGAGACTTCTGCAGGACAGTAATATCTCACTCACCGTGCAGTCCTGCATGGTGACTTTTATTTTTTTTTATGGTTTTTTATTTTATACTCATGATGACCCCATTTTGCATTGAGAGAGACTATAAAACGTTGTTTCAACAAAGATTTTCTCAGCATTTTTTCCTCATAAAAGTCTGTTCTCAAAACCCATTTAATTTTATCCTCTTTTTATATTTGAGGTACAGCAGAAATAAATAAATAAGTGAACTGTCTTTGGTTTTGTTTTAATTTTCTTTTTATACATGAGTATGGGGTGTAGAAATTAGAAAGAGTCTTTTAAAATGGGCAACGTTGTAATGCATGTTTCTGTGTATTTAGGAGATAGAGCCTCTGTCTGTGCCCAGAATGGCAGGGGTGCAGTTTATATAATTCTTTGTGGTTTTTTAAAATGTATTCAAATTTGTCACAGCAATTGTTAATGTAAAATGTGATTTTGGACATCTTCATGTAAACATGGATACAATTTGAATATAATCTTCTACAAGGTTGAGATAAAAAGTAAACCACTTTAGCTTTCAGAACTTTTAGAAAAGTATCTACAGTTTTTTGGTGGTAGAAAATGATCACATGTCTTGCTTGCCCATGGGCTGGGCATCTCTGTCCTTCACTCCCAGGATACAGTTGAGGAAACGACTGCATAGTATTACCCATCACAGGCCTGCCTTTCAGATACCTGGCATTTGATTAGAGGCTGTATATTTTACTAAGCTATTTAGGATCATTAAGTCATCAGAATGAATGTTGAATCCCAAATTACCTACCTTCCTTCCCTAAGCTTTGGTCAAATTAATTCTATATTGACATTACTGCAAAAACTTGCCTGATGATCAGTCCAGTAATAATGGAGGTAAGAAACTCAGAAAGGTTAAGATTTAATCTGCTTCAGTGAAATGAAGGAGTGGAAGATCCTTGTCTATCAGGGACAAATAGAAAAATCATTCTAGAAAGAGTAAGAACTTTTTCTAGAATATCCCTTGCATGGACTTAGTAAGAAAAGGGTACACTGGCCTGCACTGGCTGCCGAGAGTGGGAGTGACAGCACCTGCCCTGGAATTTGAGGCCTGGTCTTCGATCGGAAAGAAGGGGAGGAAATAAAGAGAGAGTGGCAACGTTGTAATGCATGTTTCTGTGTATTTAGGAGATAGAGCCTCTGTCTGTGCCCAGAATGGCAGGGGTGCAGTTTATATAATTCTTTGTGGTTTTTTAAAATGTATTCAAATTTGTCACAGCAATTGTTAATGTAAAATGTGATTTTGGACATCTTCATGTAAACATGGATACAATTTGAATATAATCTTCTACAAGGTTGAGATAAAAAGTAAACCACTTTAGCTTTCAGAACTTTTAGAAAAGTATCTACAGTTTTTTGGTGGTAGAAAATGATCACATGTCTTGCTTGCCCATGGGCTGGGCATCTCTGTCCTTCACTCCCAGGATACAGTTGAGGAAACGACTGCATAGTATTACCCATCACAGGCCTGCCTTTCAGATACCTGGCATTTGATTAGAGGCTGTATATTTTACTAAGCTATTTAGGATCATTAAGTCATCAGAATGAATGTTGAATCCCAAATTACCTACCTTCCTTCCCTAAGCTTTGGTCAAATTAATTCTATATTGACATTACTGCAAAAACTTGCCTGATGATCAGTCCAGTAATAATGGAGGTAAGAAACTCAGAAAGGTTAAGATTTAATCTGCTTCAGTGAAATGAAGGAGTGGAAGATCCTTGTCTATCAGGGACAAATAGAAAAATCATTCTAGAAAGAGTAAGAACTTTTTCTAGAATATTCCTTGCATGGACTTAGTAAGAAAAGGGTACACTGGCCTGCACTGGCTGCCGAGAGTGGGAGTGACAGCACCTGCCCTGGAATTTGAGGCCTGGTCTTCGATCGGAAAGAAGGGGAGGAAATAAAGAGAGAGAGTTTCCCCACACTAGACTCATGAATAACTGCATGATTTCTATTTAGCAGCGATCGGTTCAACTTGCAACAAAACAGATAATGGCCATTCATAACTATAAAGGACAGACCTGAACAGAAATACTTATAGTGCTTATTTTATCAACTCAACAAACTTAGTTGGTCTTTTACCACATTCATTTATACCTACCACACAACTTTTAATAATTTTAGGTATATTTATCCCTTTTTTATCATGAACAATTATTATAGGCTTTCACCATAAAACAAAAGCATCTCTAATGTATTTTCTACCATAGGGAATACCCATTCCTCTTACCAGTATATTTGTAGTTATTGAAACTATAGGCATATTCACCCAAACAGTAGCCCTAGCTATATGACTAACAGCTAACAGCTAATATTACAGCTGAACACCTACTAATTCATGTAATTTGAAGAACAACCTTTGCCCTAATAATTATTAGTCCTACTACAGCCTTCATTACATTTATTGTCCTTGTTTTGCTTACTATTCTTGAGTTCACAGTAGCCAAGTTTACGTATTCACCCTGTTAATAAGCCTGGACCGACATGACCCCCTGCGCTGCCTGCATGTACACTCAGTTGTAGCTGATTCTTTGTGACCCCATGGATTGCAGCCCGCCAGGCTCCTCTGCCCATGGGATTCTCCGGGCAAGAATACTGGCGTGGGTTGCCATTCCCTTCTCCTGGGGGTCTTTCCGACCCAGGGATCGTACCCACATTTCTTGCATCTCCTTCATTGGCAGGTGAATTCTCTACCACTGCACCATCTGGGAAATCCTGTACCTACATAGTAATAATACCTAATGATTCGCCAAACCCATGCATGCCACATAGTGAACACCGGTCCCTGATCTCAGAGGAGTCCTCTCAACTCTTTTTATAGTGTTGAGTCTAGCACATGATTCCATTGTAAATCAGCATTCTTATTATCCTTAGGCCTGTTAATCAATATGTTAGTAATATGCCAATGAAAATGAAACATCATCCAAGAAAGTACATTTCAAGGCTGTCACACATTAATTATTCAAAAGGGATTTCAACAGGGAAAAATCCTTTTCATTATGTCAGAAATCCTCTTCTTCTTTGTGTTGTTTTTTCTGTGGTTTTTACCACCATTAAGTGGTATTCCAGCTTCTGTTTATAAATATTACTCTGAAGTCGATATATCAGAGGGGCAATTTTCCTTTATTACTGAAGAATGAAAGCCAAATTGAATACTGCCATTCCTTTCTTTTTTTCTATTTAGCATTTGATTTGGAAAGTACTAGAGCCATGCAGACATGTTGAAGGAGGACTTCAGTCAGGTGGAAACAATGTACAGATCTGTTCCCTAGCATCTGGAAACAGACTGACAGACTTTTTTCATTATTTCTCCTCACATTAGCTTGCTATGTTACAGCTCCAGTGTGCTTTTTGCTTTCCGTTTTCAAAATATCCAGTTGGTAATTAAATGCAACGATAAATTAAAACAGTATCTGAACCACAGATTTAAAAACATCTAACAATTTAAACAAGTAGAAACCATTTCAGGGTTAAAAAAGGATCCCTGGAAATCTTAGCCTGCATACTGAGTCAGGAAAGAACATGCTCATTTGCTCATCTGGTGAGCAATACCTCCGGTGATCTCAAATCACTTCTTTTCAGAGGTGAAATGTTTGAAATCATTTTTTCATTGGCAGGTGAATTCTCTACCACTGCACCATCTGGGAAATCCTGTACCTACATAGTAATAATACCTAATGATTCGCCAAACCCATGCATGCCACATAGTGAACACCGGTCCCTGATCTCAGAGGAGTCCTCTCAACTCTTTTTATAGTGTTGAGTCTAGCACATGATTCCATTGTAAATCAGCATTCTTATTATCCTTAGGCCTGTTAATCAATATGTTAGTAATATGCCAATGAAAATGAAACATCATCCAAGAAAGTACATTTCAAGGCTGTCACACATTAATTATTCAAAAGGGATTTCAACAGGGAAAAATCCTTTTCATTATGTCAGAAATCCTCTTCTTCTTTGTGTTGTTTTTTCTGTGGTTTTTACCACCATTAAGTGGTATTCCAGCTTCTGTTTATAAATATTACTCTGAAGTCGATATATCAGAGGGGCAATTTTCCTTTATTACTGAAGAATGAAAGCCAAATTGAATACTGCCATTCCTTTCTTTTTTTCTATTTAGCATTTGATTTGGAAAGTACTAGAGCCATGCAGACATGTTGAAGGAGGACTTCAGTCAGGTGGAAACAATGTACAGATCTGTTCCCTAGCATCTGGAAACAGACTGACAGACTTTTTTCATTATTTCTCCTCACATTAGCTTGCTATGTTACAGCTCCAGTGTGCTTTTTGCTTTCCGTTTTCAAAATATCCAGTTGGTAATTAAATGCAACGATAAATTAAAACAGTATCTGAACCACAGATTTAAAAACATCTAACAATTTAAACAAGTAGAAACCATTTCAGGGTTAAAAAAGGATCCCTGGAAATCTTAGCCTGCATACTGAGTCAGGAAAGAACATGCTCATTTGCTCATCTGGTGAGCAATACCTCCGGTGATCTCAAATCACTTCTTTTCAGAGGTGAAATGTTTGAAATCATTTTTTGAAATATGGAGAATCTTACAAGTAGAAAATGAAATGGGCACCCTTACTGCCTTTTTGGATGTGATTCTCCTGGGGTGCCTTCGTGAATGCTTCGGGAAAGGTACCCACACATGGGTTCAGCTTCAGTCTTCATGTTTTATAGGTAACAGCCAATGGCCAGAGTTTGCACTGCCTGCCCAAGGTCACACAACTGTGTGGTCTGAGGGGAGAGTTCAGAATGGAGGCAACAGTTGCCCCAACTCTGTGTCTTTACCATTACCCGCTACATTTCATATGACTTATATTATGGCTGTATGTGTCTCGTCTTAAGCTGGATTAATCAAGTGGCTCCTTGAACTAGGTGTGCTTTCTCATTGAACAGGTCGAATGGGGGCAGGAGAAAAAAAGAATGCCTGCAGTGTCCAGTACCGGCGACCCTTTGGCTGTGCAGTTCTCAGTATTGCTGACCTGCTGACGGGAGAGACGAAAGATGACCTCATCCTGAAAGTGTACATGTAAGAAGCCTGCACATGATATGGACTGGGGTGGGCATAGGGGTACATGGGCATCCTATGTCGTGAATCTTGCTTTCTGTGGGTAATGGAAGAGCCAGGGACGGGCCAAGTTTATGAGCCATTCCTCAAAAATTTAATAATCTCTAGGCCTTCTACAGTTGAGCCTACAAATCATCATTTGCCTTTCAGAGGAGTTATGAAATTGAGAACCAAAAAGAACAGATAGTTTTCCCACTGGGTGGACCATCCACTGCATAGAATACCTCCCAAGACTTTAAAACCTGTTATAGCTTTACCCTCAGAAAGTTCATTTGTTCTTGGAAAATGGAAATAGCTTTTAACGTAAACTAATTAGAATTAAGGAAAAGGAAGTTCAGATTGGGTGATTCCCCTCTTGCTTCATGTATTATTAGTTTATTATGTGGTGGTTTAGTTAAGTCATGTCTGAGGCTTTGCAACCCCATGGACTATATTCCGGCAGGGTCCTCTGTCCATGAGATTTCCCAGGCAAGAATACAGGAGTGGGTTGCCATTTCCTCCTGCAGGGGATCTTCTCAACCCAGAGATGGAACACAGGCCTCCTGCGTAGCAGGAGGATTTTTTACTGACCGAGTTACCGGGGAAGCCCATTTTAGGGCTTCACTAACAAAGCACGGTAAACAGGGAGGCTTAAGCCACAGACATTTATGGTCTCGCTGTAATGGAAACCACAGCTCCCAGATCACAGTGTTGGCTACACTGATTCTTTCTGAGGGCTGTGAGGGGGCTTCTGTTCCCTGCTTCTCTCTCTTGGTTTCTGGTGTCCTGCAGGACCTGATGTGTACCTTCATCATCACATGACTTTGTCCAGGTGTGTGTGTCTGTTTCTGTAACCACATCTCCCCTTTTCACATGGGCCTAGTTAGTTATATTCGGAGAAGGCAATGGCACCCCACTCCAGTACTCTTGCCTGAAAAATCCCATGGACAGAGGAGCCTGGTAGGCTGCGGTCCATGGGGTCGCTAGAGTCGGACATGACTGAGTAACTTCCCTTTCACTTTCATGCATTGGAGAAGGAAATGGCAACCCACTCCAGTGTTCTTGCCTGGAGAATCCCAGGAACGGGGGAGCCTGGTGGGCTGCCGTCTATGGGGTCACACAGAGTCGGACACGACTGAAGTGACTTAGCAGCAGCAGCAGTTGGTTATATTGGGTTAGGACCCACCCTAAACAACCTAATTTTAACTTGATTTTCTGTGTAAAGACCCTATTTCCAAATAAGATCCTCAGAACATGGTTTATGCATCTTTTATGGGTCAGTGGCAGCAGATACAGTTCAGTTTGAACATTCCACAAAGAAAATCCACTGAATGTATTTCACATCCTAAGTTTTTAAAAAGGCACATGGTTTTTGATTGCCCTTCCCTGAGCACCTCCCGACAGGTCTGACACTGGAGAGATGGCACACAGTGACATCCTCAGAGCAGATGCACTGGGGGGTGGGGGATCTGGGGTCCGCATTCCTGATTTGAGGGCCACACTACTGACCTCCTCTGTGAGTGAGCTTGCTTTAGTTATCTGTTCGGCTGCTGTAGCATGTGCCAATGGTTTTTCCATATGTAGAGGGGACCCACGTGTCCCACTACCTGCGGGACATATACTTCAGGTTGCTTTTGACAACAGCTGCAGGGTTTCTTGGATTTATCCATCTTCTACCCAGAGGCCCTGGGACCTGCCCCACATGTTTGCTAATCAGTTGACAAAGATTCACTTATAGCCTGTGGTTTAGGACTAGAAACTCTCTTTGCACCTTTTAAGAGTGATAAAATCTGTGACCTTGATATTAAACTTGAAAACTTTTGCTGAAACTACTGGGTAGTAAAGCGTGCTACTCTTTTCTCCCACAGTGGAGTGTAAATCCAGTGTAATCCCCTTTCTAAATTTTACTGGTGATTGTGAAACATAATTTAATTGCAACAATACTAATGATAATAGCCTAGTTACTTTGTGCTTACTATCTGCAAGGAACCATGTTTATAAGCACTTTGCATGTGCCGTGTCACTTTATCTTCATGACAAACTCATGAAGCAGATGCTGTTGGCTCTGTTTTCCACATAAGGGGACAGAGAGGCTAAATAGCACCCAAAATCACCTGACTAATCAGAACAGGAACCAGCTGTGAAGTCAGGACTGCCTAACTCAGAACCTGAGCTCTCATGTTACCAGGTCATACGTGCTATTTCAGGGTGCTATTTCACACCACTTTCTAGTGATGTGACAATGATGCTGTTAGGTGACCTTGCTTTTTAAGAAAAACTAAAATTTCTCACAATCTCATTGTTTCTTCGAGTGATCTTTCCAGGTGTGCGTAGGAAGTGTTAGATTAATCTTGTTAATGGGAAAACTGAGGGACCTGGAGTTGCTTGCATTCCTCTTGAGTATGCATCCAGCCAAGGAAGATCCATGAATTCCAGTTCTGTGGGGGTTACTCACTCTCCTCGAATCAAGTTGTACTGCTCTTTGTGGTTGTTATTGTTTGTTTTTTCATATATATCAAATAAAGTTGGGTTATTCTTGATGCAAGAGAGATCCCTTAAAAATTACAGTTCAGCAATTTATTAATCCATTCCAGGATGAATGCCAGGTAGTTAAAACAGTTATTGTAGATGAAAAAGAAGCTAGAATTTATTAAAACATTTTAGAGAAGTGACTGTTACAAACAATTTGGAAGAAATTTCTATTTGTTAACGTGACCAAATCCTTAGCTCAAACTGGGACTCAAACAGAGAATAGCAAGAAATACCTCGTCTGAGCCTGGAAGATATTTCAGTCACATACTTTAGGAGCTTTTATTTTATTTGGAGTTTTGTAGGTTAAAAGCATGAGTTCCGGAGTCACTTAACTATTTAATAGGAAGCAAGCTATCTTTCTTCCTTCCCCACTGAGCTGAACTAAGAAAACTAGAAGCAGGGTGTACTAAGTGGCAATTTGGTATCTTACAGCTGGACAAGTGGAATGGTTTTATTTCATCTTAATTTTCCAGCTTTCTCAGTGTCAGTGATCTTATTTGCTATCCTACTGTTAACTGGTTCAAAGGTAACCTTCATCAAGTTCATCCTTGAAAAGCTTATGGTGGTGAAATAAATAAATATGTAAGCACATTGTGAATTATTGGCTACAGATGAGATCACAAGGAAGCAGTCTCTCTAAGGTGGAATATTTTGATTGATAGTTATAGAATCTTTGATTATCAGGACCCTTGGGAGGGAGCCTTTGTTACTAGTGAAAGATAGTAGTGAATTTACAAACACCTAACTTGGGGGGGAGTCTCAGCAGTAAGAAGAGAACAGACCCAGTTATTAACAAATCATCAGGAGTAATAGTCAGAGGGATATCCATTCAGTCATTCATGTAGCCAGTACTTTTTTAAGCACCTCCAATGTTCAAAGTACTGAGGGAAACACAAGTATCTACCAGTCCTAGATCCAATTCTCAAGAATCTTCAGTCTCCTAGGTGAACTGTACCATGTACACAAAGATAGCATGAGTTGGTAAAAGACAAAAGCTGAAAGACTAAGGTACAGATGGCTGTCAGAGGGAGAGATGGAGAAACGCCTTTTGGCCTAGAAGTAGAAAATCTGGAAGAGTTACCTTAATTACCCTTCAGTAAATCCCAGGTTTTTTGCCAGTTCAAGTTGTGTTAACCTCAGTTGCATTTTGATGCTAGCCAACTTGGTCATGATATAATAGGTGGAGAGTCAATAATTCAATAACATTCAAATAACATTTACTGAGCATTTACTTTATGCCAGGGGTTATCCTAAACCCAAGCTTGTTCAGGGTTCTAGTATATTACCCCCATTTCACAGATGAACAGATCAAGGCACAGAGTAAGTAACTCACCCAGAGAACATAGCTCAGTTAATAGTGAGGATCCAAATCCAGGGAGTCAGAATCTTAGCCTGTACTTCCCACTGTATGCATTGTTCTCTGAGCTTCTCATAAGCGGAATTGTTCATCTCAGCCACTTCATGAAGTAGTTGGTCATGCATTACCAGATATGGTCATTCCTGCTTATCCTGGGGCAGCTAAGCCAAGCCATGTTCTCTGTGTTGAGAACTGTAGGGAGGTTTAAGGAAGTACATTATAGTGGTTATGTGAAAAGGGGCAGGTGTGTAGTAAGGTCATCTCATGCATCATCAAAGCTTAACAGAGTGGCCGTGATTTCACAGGTGTAATACAGAGAGTGAGTGGTATCAGATCCACGAGAACATCATCAAGAAGTTGAATGCGCGTTATAATTTGACTGGCTCCAATGCGGGTGAGTATAAGGTTTGTCTGACTCCCCACACTCTTCATTTCAGTTGCTTCGCTTTATTTGTCTGTGAAGAAGAAGATTTGCAGCCCTTTGTTTTTCTCTCTACTCATTCCCTAAAAGTGCTCGGTCAGCATGCTGGTATGTCTCCTTACTCTATGATAGGTTTGTAACTATAACTCTCAAAGATCTATTCTTTTCTGGTTTGAATCAAGATAGAGTATCCTAGTTTATTCTCTAGTCTTGGGATCTCCAGGTTGTTGCTGATTGCTGAAAACCAAATGACAAATATACCTCGGTTCATGACAGTTGTGTGGAATGGGTTTGATGAACAGGAATTTTTGTCAATAACGTCCAAGAAAACCATGCTTCTCTGCCTATAGCTGTAGTGTTATATAGAGAAAAGCATATGCATGCCATCAGCAGGAACTGTAATATAACATAGCATTATAAGTTATATATAATATAAGTGGTTTAAATCACTGAGTGGTTTAAATCATTCAGTTGTGTCTGACTCTTTGAGACCCCATGGACTGTACAGTTCATGGAATTCTCCAGCCTAGAATACTGAAGTGGGTAGCCTTTCCCTTCTCCAGGGTATCTTCCCGATCCAGGAATTGAACCGGGGTCTCCTGCATTGCAGGCAGATTGTTTACCAGCTGAGCTACCAAGGAAGCACATATGATACATCAGGTGGTGCATACTCTTATACTACTAACATACTAGTATTATATAGCATATGTAGATTATATAATATATTGAATGACATCTTTAAGTTTGATCAGTATACAAAAACATAGTGAATATTATTTGTTCCCTGTCCCACCTCCAAACCCATGTTGAAGCAGAATAAACTATGCAGTTGTGTGCTTTAATTAAAGAAACAGCTAAATCAACTGGTATTTGAACTGAATGCACTGCTTTTTGCGGCTGATTTTTAAAGTACCCTGAATATAGATGGTTGTGTTATAGTCCAAATTGCCTGGCAGTTAAAAAAAACCTGAATTTAAATATAGACCACCTTTTCTTCAAACCTGTGTACATCTCACCAGGTCAAGGGAAAACGTTAGTCACTCAGTCGTGTCCAATTCTTTGCAATCCTATGGACTGTAGCCCAGCAGGCTCCTCTGTCCATGAAATTGTCCAGGCAAGATTACTAGAGTGGGTTGCCATCCCCTTCTCCAGGGGATCTTCCTGATCCAGGGATCAAACCCAGGTCTCTCGCATTGCAGGCAGATTCTACTGTTGCTCAGACAATAATCTGTCTACAGTGCAGGAGACCCTGCAGGGTTTGATCCCTGGGTCTGGAAGATTCCCTGGGGAAGGGAATGGTTACCCACTGCAGTATTCTTGCCTGGAGAATTCCATGGACAGAGGACCCTTTGCATATGACGATCCCACATCACCAGTCTAAAACAACCCACAGAGTAACTGCAGACAGAAACTCTGTGGTTTGTTCACATGAGAGCTATAAGAATTCACAGCTCATTCATGTGGCAGCACTTCAGTCCGTAATGAATGGTGAGGTCAGTTTTCTCTCCAGTTTCCCAAGAGTGGGGGAGGGAACTTGGCTTCCTTTGATCCACACAAAGTCCTCCATCTATCACTAAATAAACAAAATACTTGCACTTGCTATTGAAGGTACAGTCTCTGAAGGACTAGGAGATTTTAGTAGTGAATATAACTTGAAATAAGAAGAACACCTCAGAAACTGCTGTGTACACTTGTCTTCAATTTTTCTGTGAAAGAAATAGCACTTATGGTGTAGAGACCAAGCGATTTATTTTAAATGTACTTTCAGTAAGATGGTAGGCCTAGTGCTTTTTAAAAACTTATCTTGCCAAATTCATTGACAGACTTCTAACCAAATTCATTACTTTTGACAGACTTTTTGGTATTTCTTGATGCCATGGATTATTTTTTATCGTTAAATGTATTTTGTACCTGTGCTGTCCACCTTGATAGGTACCAGCCATCTGTGGCTATTGAGCCTTAGACAGGAGACTAGTATAGCACTGGGATTAAAGTGTGAGCATGATGTTCAGTTGATCAGTTGTATCCGACTCTTTGCAACTCTATGGACTGTGGCCCACCAGGCTCCTCTGTCCATGGGATTTTTGCAGCAAGAATACTGGATTGGGTTGCCATTTCCTTCTCCAGGGGATCTTCCTGACCCAGGGATTGAACCTGCGTCTCCTGGATCTCCTGCACTGCAGACGGTTTCTTTACCCCGGAGCCACTGGAGATGTCATTGCAGTGTGTAGTACTTGTAAAATACACACTTGATTTTGAAGACTTGACATATATATAATGAATATAAAACACCCCTTTAATAATTTTTATATTGATTATATGTGCAAAGGTAACATTGTGGATATATTGGTTTAAACATAATATATTACAAAAGTTAATTTTGTTTCTATTTTTTAAGTTGTTACTAGCCACAAAGGTGGCTCATATCATAGTTCTATTCTTAAATCTATCTAGACTCGATTTAAGAATTTCCTTTTTGAGCTCTTTTGATGCCTCACATTCATTATGCCTTACTCCTTTGCTTCTGCCCACTGACTTTGGGTCGAGAAGTTTGTAGCGATTGTGTATCTTTTTCCTTCTCTCCCAGAGTCCCATTATTTTTAGTTTGCTTGCATTTGCCTCCTATGTGAATAAATAAATATAAAACTAACCCTGACCTTCTAATTTTTCCCGTGTATTCCCTTCCCTCCTTACCATCATAGATGCAGTGTTGACTAAGCAAGGTGTGTTGATCTGCTCCAATATACTTGTTTCCAAATTCCTTGTCAACTCCCAGGTCTTTCCTCTTTGCAGTGTGCCTTACAATTCTTCTGTTGTTGGATCCTTTGAGTTTATCATTGTCCTGACTGAAGTGATGCTCAGTGCCCTCTTGAATCATGCTGAAGTCCTGGATAATGGGCTTTGATTTATTTATATGTCCAGATAGATTCCTTATATAATTTACCCTATATCCTATGAGATCGGGATGCCAGTCAAGCCAAACCATATATTTCTCTCTGCTTACAGGTGGGAGTCATCTCTTAGAGATGATAGCCTAAAGATATTTGCTCCTAGAAGTGGGATGTCCTACTTTTGAATCAAGTTTTACTGGGATCATGGTAGTATCATCCTGTAAGGGTCATTGAAGGATTAAAAGAGAAAATGTTGCGGAGCACATAGCAGGGCATTTGATACATAATGTATTCATTGTTAGTTTGTTTTGTTTTGTTTTGTTTTTTACAACTTGGGAGTCATCCTCTAGAATATTTTACCCTTCTTTTGTCAAGCACCTTGCTTCATTTTCTCAAATGGATCTTGATTTGATCTTCTAAATGGAGACTTTGAGAATCATACAGCTGAATTATTGGTAGGCTGAATCATCAAATTGATTCTTCCTATTCTTTGTTTCTTCCATCTCGTCTGTGTTCAGTCGACTGCTAATCTCTCTTCCCAGGTCTTCCTTCTGACACGTAGATTAACCCCAGGAAGGAAAGGCAGCATATTACGTTTCCCTGGGAAGTTCCCTGGGTGTTACCTGTTGTGTTTACATCCATTGTACTGAAATGAAAAACCACTTGTTGCATCTTTGGAAAGAATAAAAGAAACCATTTTACCATACAACCCTGCCTAGCAGGTTTTCTCTGCCTTTGGCAGAATCAATCCTGCATTTTGCTGCCTATCTTGATGCTGAGATTCCTAGATTGAATATATACTCTTTATGCTTGGCGTTGGCTGCAAAGCCCTGCCTGCTCTCCTGTCCTTACAGCCCACTCCTCTCCTTCCCCCTCCTATCAAGCCTGAGTCCCAGCCAGCTGCACCCAGCCAGCATCAGCTCGCCTTCTATTTCTTGGGTCCTTCTGGTCCCTTTTAGCTCGCTCATAGCAAGGCAAACCCAGCCCTAAGCCTTGTCACTTCAAAATACTGCTCCAGAGTGAGAAAGTTGAGACAGAAACTTTTAAAAATTAGTAAATGAACCCTTTACTCTTTCTTTCCATTTAAGTTTCCACTCTTCTTGGAGAGTGGAACATTGTTCTGTTGTCACCTGTCTTGAGGGAAGGCAATTATAAAAATGTATAGAACAGACTTGTGGACTCTGTGGGAGAAGGCGAGGGTGGGATGTTTCAAGAGAACAGCATCGAAACGTGTATATCTAGGGTGAAACAGATCACCAGCCCAGGTTGGATGCATGAGACAAGTGCTCAGGCCTGGTGCACTGGGAAGNAAATCCAAAAATCATATTGTGAGAATTTGAACTTCTAAAAATAGTCATTAGAATCAGCCTGGTTGAAGTTTGTTGAGCAAATGGTTATTATTAACGTCACCTCTGATAGACATTAGCAGTTGAATTCTAGGAATGTGAAATAAGACTGAGCCAATATGATTTCCTGAGACACATTCAGTTCTATTATTTGAAATAAATTATGTAAAAATCCTTGGCTCCTGTTCAGTATGTCCTAAGAGAAAATTCAGAATCTTTTAATATTATCTATGTGTTTATGAAATCCTATTTCCTGTAGTTTGTACATGTAACTTACAACTAGAAGAAATCATATTTGCTAATCAGGTCAGTTTCTACAATCTGCTTTTTGCCTTAGCCAGATGAGCAATGTGATTGCATCCCTGCCAGTTATACATTTTAACCCCCACAGAAGGTGAAACTCCTTCAGAATTACCTAGATAAGAAGCCCACGTATACTTGTACAAGGAGGGCAGTTTAACCCTGTACAAGAAGTAAATGGTGTTCATTTAACTGAGGTGAAAGGAGGCTTTTGAGAGTTAGACTGTATTTGGGGGAGGTGAGCATCCTGTCCTCACATAGACAGGTAGTTGTTTGATTCAATAGTATTGAACTGGTGTAATTCTTAAAGACTGTGTCTATACTCCTGACTTTTGAACACTGCACTTGGACAATTTGCTTTCTAATGTTGTTTAAAGAAAACAGGTACTCATTGGCGCCACCTATTGGCTAGACATATAGTATATGGCCTTTTGGC